GAGAAAAGAAAGATGTTCTAGATGTTAGTGGTGTGACCCATTACTGTATCTAAATGCTATTTGAAGCTATTTGCATATTTGCAAGTTCCATAAGTGTACAGCTGTTGCAGTGTGTGTGTGTGTGTGTGTGTGTGTGTGTGTGTGTGTGTGTGTGTGTGCTGTGGGGGGTGTGTGTGTGTGTGTGAACTGTGTGTGTGTGTGTGTGAACTGTGGGTGTGTGTGAACTGTGTGTGTATGCGAACTGTGGGGTGTGTGTGAACTCTGTGTGTGTGTGTGTGAACTGTGTGTGTGTGTGTGAACTGTGGGTGTGTGTGAACTGTGTGTATATGTGAACTGTGGGGTGTGTGTGAACTGTTGTGTGTGTATGTATGTGAACTGTGTGTGTGTGTGTGTGTGAACTGTGGGTGTGTGTGTTGGGAGGGAGAGTCTGCATGTAGGGTCCACGCCTACAGCCGGTTTGCTCAGGGCAGGGTCCCTGGTCCTCTAGCAGGAAACAGTGTAACCATCCACCCTGGGATCGGGCAGCAGGAGAACGGACAACGCGCGTGGCAGTGCCCCTCCACTACTTCACGAGGCCATCAGGGGCCAATTGTCCCTGCCTCCTCGTCTGCATGCGTGACTCCCCGATTCCTCACCCCCGCTTCCTGGAACTACCACTCACTCACTCCCCTCTGCCCACTGCCCGCTCTGAGGAGGAAGGAGGGGACCTGAGAGAGGCTGGACATGAGCACAATGTAGGAAAGACCTCAGCAGCAGCCACTCTCCGGCGGGGAGCTGGGAGCTAAGAGCCCTTGCTTTATTGTGTATCTCATCTCAACCTTGTACTTTGATACCCACTCAAAATTAGTTACTTACAAGACAAGTTAGCAGCCAGAATTAAGCTGGTGGCCACTCCCACCAAAGCAGGGAGTGGCCACCAGCCCCTCCCCCACCCACCTGCCCCCTGCCCCCTGTGGGTCTAACCTCGGCCTCTCCCCTCCGGCCCCCTCTCCTCCTTCCCTTTCAGGCCTCAGTAACATCATAGGCATCATCGTCTACATTTCCAGCAACACGGGCGACCCGAGCGACAAGCGCGACGAGGACAAAAAGAACCACTATAACTACGGCTGGTCTTTCTACTTCGGGGCCCTGTCATTCATCGTGGCCGAGACCGTGGGCGTCCTGGCCGTGAACATTTACATTGAGAAGAATAAGGAGTTGAGATTTAAGACCAAACGGGAGTTCCTCAAGGCTCCCTCCTCGTCCCCGTACGCCAGGATGCCCAGCTATAGGTACCGGCGACGGCGCTCCCGGTCCAGCTCCAGGTCCACGGAGGCCTCGCCCTCCAGGGACACGTCGCCAGTGGGCCTGAAGATCGCCGGGGCCATCCCCATGGGCGAGCTGTCCATGTACACGCTGTCCCGGGAGCCGCTCAAGGTGACCACGGCGGCCAGCTACAGCCCGGGCCCGGAGGCCGGCTTCCTGCAGGTGCACAAATTCTTCC